TTCCAGATGTGTGATAGGCTGCGGGATGTAGGCCTGGCTACCCTGAATGGGGGACCAGCAAGCAGGTTGGAGACATGCGCAGGAAGGTACAGACATGTACTTCCTTCTCAGAGAAGTTACAAGGAAGCCCCACGTTTGCACCTCCTGGTTGACAGGCACAGTGTCGGAGGATCCTCACTGCGCCTGCTTGCCCCTGTTGTTGTTTTGGAGCATGACCACAGCCACCTCGTACTCATTATGGACCTCCTCTTGTGTCGAGGAAGTAGATAGAAGCTGGGGAAAGCAATCACTGAATTGGTTGGCCTGCTTCTGGCTACTTATTGAAAAGCACTTTGGCCAACACTTGAGGGGCTGGGGATAGCTTTGTCAGTAAATACAAGCTGTAAAATGTAACAGTTTGATATGGCTAGTATTACTGCATGATTTGCTCAGCCCTGCAACCTGCTTTCTTTGACTGACAGCTATCCTGGATGCTGTTCTGCATTGGTTACTGCAGGTCTGTAACATTTTTACCAGCTCCACGGTGCAGAGTTGCATGGAGCAAAGTCACTTCCCCAGCTGGCTTGGATCCTTTCTTGCTTTTCTCTGCTGTGTGCTCTGTCCAGATGTGTAGTGCTTGCCTGCCTGTAAATATTTACAGCAGCCTCCTCTCCACCCCCCCAAAACCATTCAATTCCTTCACTGAGCTCTAATGTCATAGCAACCTGGCGCCAGCCAGTGGCTGGTCCTGAAAGGGCTTGAGAGAAATTATCCTTTTCTTGGCAGGTTTTGTTTTGGGGGTGGGTGGGGGAAAAGCAATACTGAGATTTGAACTCAGGGTCTTGTGCTTGCTCTGCCCTGCTCTGTACTGCTTTTCCCTTTCATCTGGCCGGCTCCCAAGCCCTGCCCACAACTTCTGCAACCAACTTCCACCTTCAGAAATGGAGGCCCAGCCTCCATCTCCTTCCCCCCCCCCCCCAACACACAATTCCTTCCATGCCAAACCCATAGGAAATTGAGGCTCTGGGTGAATCCCCACCATCACACCCAGTTTTGTTTTGCCCCATCTGTCCCTCATCCTGGGGTTCTCTGTCCTGTGTTTTTCTCTCTCAGGGGCTCTTTGGACTCTAAATAATCACCTCCCTGTGGCCCTCACGGCTATCTGAGGCCTTAACTTTCCTCCTGAGATGGAGTCTCATATATATTTTTTGTTATTGTTGTTGGTTGTGGGGCTTGAACTCAGGGCCTGGACTCTGTCCTTGAGCCTCTTTGAGCGTAAGGCTAGCGCTCTACCACTTGAACCACTGTATTACTTCTGGCTTACTGGCAGTTACTTGGAAATGAGTCTCACGGACTTTACTGCCTGGCCTGGCTTCAAACCTGAATTCTTAGATCTCAGCTTCCAGAGTAGCTAGGATTACAGATGTGAGCCATCGGTGCCTGACCACAGTCTCATATTTTTAAATTGCAAAACTCAACTGGACACTGCCTTGTTTTCCCGACTTCCAACACTAGAGCCATTTCCCAGCTCATGGGAAATAGTGGTCAGGACCCGGGGTGCTCTGAGCCTCTGGCTAGAACCACTTAGTTCTCTCTCCTGTCATCAGCCGGACAAACATCAGGCCTGGGGTGTCCAGCGGAAGTGACAGGGCCAGGGGAGGGGATTTGTAGCTTCTGATGGATTCATTAGGAGAAAGAACCAGAGATCTTAGCGTAGGCCAGAGTTGTTTATTTGCCCTATTTGTTTTCTTATTAGATTTTATTTAGAGAAGTTGTAGGTTTACAGAAAAGTTTTGCAAAACTTACAGAGAGCTCGAAACCCTCCCTCAGCACTCTGCCTCCAGTTCCTTCTGTGGTTACCATTTGGGGTTGGTGTCCTATCTTGTTAAAATTGAGGAGTGTTTGTTTGGTATTGGTCCTGGGACTTGAACTCAGGGCCTGGTTGTTGTCCCTTAGCTTTTTCACTCAAGGCTGGTGCTTTGCTACTTGAACAACACTTCCACATCTGGCTTTTTTGGCCTTTTGGTGATGAATTGGAGATAAGTCATCTGGACTTTCCTACTTAGGCTAGCTTTGAATCAGGATCCTCTGATCTCAGCCTCCTGAGTAACTAGGATGACCAGATTTGAGTTTCTTATGTCAAGTGTCATCTCACAGGAACCTAAACTGTAGCTCTCAAAATGACTACCCCTGAAGATGCATAGAATGAAGTCAATCTAGTGTGACCATTCCTGTCCACCAAGTGGCTGGCTATGGGCTGTGTTCCAGGCATAAAATGGGTGTGCGTGACTCACAAGGTACTTCTGAGGCAGGGCAGAGACCAGGGTCCAGAGAGCGTGGAGGAGCAGAGCCTGAAGCACTGATATGTGAGCCTGTGCAGCTCCAGGGTCCATGGAGGGAGAGCAAGCTGGTGAGTGTTCATCCTGGAGGAGGCAGAGTGTGGCGGGCCTGAAAGGCAGCAGAGACTGGATGGGAAGAGGACCTGAAGCTTGGGGTTAGGCCCAAAGCCTGGCCAGGATGAAGTGACACCAGGGAAAGGTTGTGGGTATCTGCGCTCTGCCTGGGTGGCCCACAGTGACTGCTGGGTGAGGAGATTCCCCAGGGAAGGGCCAGGCCACCAGCCTGTTGAGCCGGCTTCTCCATCTGCAGATACCAGGCCCTGCCCAGCGGGCTGGGCCAGGTTCCAAGGCTGGCAGCAGGAAGGAACTGACATAAAGGAGAATGCCCTGCATTCATGGATGGGCACACCTGATTAGGGAGCCTGCTGCTACCCCTGCTTTGCCCTGCCAGGACTCCTCAGGGTGCCCAGGCACCTGGGTGTGGTTTTTACTTTGGCTGGTGGTACTTGTACATAACACTGAGCATTGGATGCAAGCTGTGGCCAGTCTTCAGTGACATCTGTGTGCATGTACAAGTGTGCATGTGCACGTGCATGTGCATGTGTGTGCACGCACGCACACACACACACGCGCGCGTGCGCGCACACACACACACACACACACACACACACACACACACACACACACACACACACACACACATGAGGCCCATGCTTTCATCTCCATGGACCTCAGGTTAGGGACCCTCATCCTTGGAGCTACTGCAGCCCCTGGACCCTCTCCTGAATGGATTTTGTGTGGTCCCGGTGCTGTGCTGGTCTACATCATGCTATTACCTTGAGGCATGTGTGTAGCATTTAAGAGTTGATACTGTTCAATTTGGCCTCTCATAGAACTGCCCCAGCCCTAACCAATCATATATTAATGCCGAAGATGAAAAACTGGTATACTTACTCGGCCAGGCCAAGTTCATCCCTCTGGTCTGCAAACTGCCGTAAGTCCAAGTCTTGCCCTAAGTCCCTCCTGCCACACTTCTGCAGAGCCATCTCCAAGTTCAGCCTATCCAGGGTGCTTGTTAAGGTAAAAATGGATCAGGAGGGGCTTTGGGACAGCAGGCAGCCTTGGGCCCTTGAGTCCCTTAGCCATATGGTGCCAAAGCCAGTACAGGTGACCTGTGACATTTGGGGTGTGTGTGTGTGTGTGTGTGTGTGTGTGTGTGTGTGTGTGTGTGTGTGTGTGTGTGTGTGTGTGTGTGTGTGTGCTGGTACTGAGGATTAGACTCTGGTACTCAAGAATCTAAAGCTCTCACTTGGCTTTTTTCACTGAAGTCTGGTGCTCTACCACTTGAGCCACAGCTCTGCTTCTGGCTTTTTGGTGGCAAATGGAAGATAAAAGTCTCATAGATGTTCCTGCCTGGGCTGGCTTCTGCCATTATCAGGTCTCAGCTTCCTGAATAGCTAGGATGACAGGCATGAGCCACTAGTGCCAGGCCCTGTACATGTTTTCATATTTTTTTTTCCCACTGTGGCCAGTAAGCAGTAAGCCTTTGATCATAATACAGTCACGTAACAAGATCTACATAATAGGCAGAACCAATATCCCAAAGTGATGCTCACCTTGATGCCATGCCTCATTCTGGTTACATTGTGTTCTGTTGTTTCCCTGCGCTATTCTATTTTTAAACACTAGTCATGGCTCAGTGAATTAGCTTTGTGATGGTGAGACTGATTGTGAGAGGCAGTTTGGATAATACTAAGAAGAACCCTGGTCACGGTGCCAGGGCTGCCTGAAGGTGTTTGGAATTGTGCCGTGTCGGGCTTCTGACCCTGGCTGCAGCCAGACTGCCGGACATTTGGCCAAGGCATGGACTCCACTGCCCCAGCTCACTGCCTGTCTTTCTCTCCCTCTGGTGGACTCAGGCCTTGATCTGGCAGAGTGGGGCCGCTGGTCTTTCTGGTTCTGTGTCAGGGTGGTGTCCCAAGGTTGCCTAGCAACCCTGTTTAATGTTGGCTTTGCCAGGTCCTGGCTGAGTGACCTTGTACAAGTCCTTTTCTATCTGGAACATTCATCTACAAGATAGGAGGAAGGGAGGGAGAACTACTTTGTGCTGTTCAGTGTAGGAAGGTTTTCATAGCTGTTATAATTTTCTTAGTGAAAAGTTTGAAGAAAAGAAAAGTTTTGTATTAAAACAGCCATAAGCTGGGCACTGGTATTTCACCCTTGTCATCCTAGCTACTCCTGAGGCTGAGATCTAAAGATGGATTGACTGTTCAAAGCCAGCCAGGGCAGGAAAGTCTGGATTGGCTTTCAAGTTGCGACCCTCAGATCTCAGCCTCCTGAGTAGCGAGGATGACAAGTGTGAACCCCTGATGCCTGGCTTCAGTTCTCTTTTATAAGGGTGCTAACCTCACTCTTTCATGTCATGTAGGTTCCAGCAAAATACTTAGGGATTTTGAAGGAGAAAACATTGCAGTTAAAGCAATCACCATACTAGAATGACTAGCTCTTGCCAGTGCTCTTGGGGTGAAGGTCTGCCATATGGAACTTTCTATGGTGGGTTGAAAAGAAGCCCTATCTTCTGCCATCCTCTGTGGGCCCGTGTCTGAGGCTGAATAATGACTTACTGGATGCAGCTGGTGTTGGCAGAGGCTGACCTGATGTCTTCATGTTGACCTCTTCTAGGGAATCCAGGATGTCCAAGCCCTGAGGAGGCCTGGAGAGAGGCAGGGGCTGTCCCCCACCAGCCTGGCCCACCTGTTATCAAGATGCTGAGCCTGAAGCTCCCCAGGCTGTTTAGCATCGAGCAGGTGCCCCAGGTAGGTGCTTGGTTCCTTGTGGTGACTTCCAGGGTGTGTCCAGGGCTTGCTCTGTGCCATTGGGTGGGGTGGGGGAGGCTGTGGGCAGCCTGTTTGCTCTGCACAGGTCTTTTCTCCTTGTGCCCTCCCCTCCCCGATCTCCTTCTGGAAGCCTGTTTTGTTTCCTGTTTCATGAAGCCTGGAAAAGGAAGCGATCCTGGTACTTTTGAAGTCGCCCTTTCCTGTGACATCTGTCTTCTTTCCCAAGGCAAAAATCCTTAGCTGGATCACAGATTCAGACTGCCAAGAGGGGGCTGACAGCAGCTGGCTGGGCAGAGAGGTTTGTAGGGCCTCCTGTGGAATGTGGAAAGCAGGCCCTGTTCAGCCACCTCAACATGGCTTTGCTGGAAGCCTCACAGGAGGCCTCCTATTCCAGGTCAGGTGACAGGAAGGGCAGTCCCATGGGCTGGGAAGGTGGCTCAGTGGTAGAGCGCTTGCCTTGCATGCTCAAGGCCCTGGGTTCGATTCCTCAGCACCACATAAGCAAAAAGAAAAAAGCTGGAAGTGGCACTGTGGCTCAGGTGGTACAGTGCTAGCCTTGAGCTGAAGAGCTGAGGGACAGCGCCCAGGCCAAGAGTTCAGGCCCACTACCGGACCCCCCCCCCCAAAAAAAAAGGAAGGGCAGTCCCCTTCGATGCACTTCCAGGCCTTGGTAGCCATCCTGGGGTATGTGGGACCTACAGGAGACACCCTGGATATGTACTGTGATAAGCTGGGTACCCATTTCCTTGCAAAGAACAGATCCCTGGGTCCACAGCTTCCTATTTGCATCCTTCCTTTGGGCTGAGGTAGAGTTATGTTCTTGTGGTGAGAGGTCCCTGGGAGGTGACGACAGGACAGGAGAGAGCCCCTCCTCCTCAGCTCATTGCCACGCACTTACAATTCCCAACGAGCATCAGGAGTGAAGGTCAGAGCCAGGTGCTGGTGGCTCACTCCTGTAATCCTAGCAATTCAAGAGGCTGAGATCTGAGGATCATGGTTCCAAGTCAGGCAGAAAAGTCCACGAGACTATCATCTACAATTAACCACCAAAAAGCCAGAAGTGAAGGAGATATAGCTCAAGTGTAGAGTGCCAGCCTTGAGAAAGAAAGAAAGAAAAAAGCTAAGGTACAGTGCCTTGGCCCTGAGTTCATGAGTTCAAGCCCCCAGTACTGGCAGACACATGCACAAAAGGAATGGCAGTTAAAGAAGAGACATCTGCCAAGCCCTAGCCTCAGCCTGCAGTGAGGTTCTTGGAGAAAGTGGCCCAGGAGAAAAGGGGCACCACTTAGACTCAAGAGTAGGGATGAGACGAGGAAGGAGGCTGCCCCACCCCCAGTGTGGGCCAGGCTGGGATCTGAGCACATTGCTGGGGATGCAGCTCAGGAGAGAGAGATTCACACACATTAGTAGCTGCTTAGGGCCACTGTGGTGTGCAGTCACTGGGATTCTGAAGGTTGGGGCCAGCAGTACCTGCACAGGCTGTGGGCTGCCCTTGACTGTGTCTTCTCTGCTTGTGCTCATAAATGACAGGGCAGCAGTATCCTTCTTGGTGACAGGACACTAGCCCAAGGCAGAGGCCACATCAAAACAGCGCCTCTGCTGGCCCAGAGGGGAATTTCACCTGGTGATTTGCTGGGGGAGATACAGGGGCAGGGGGAAGAAGAGAGGTATTTTTGAATTAACTAGCTGCAAACAGAGAAAAGATTAAAGTGCACAATTTACTAGTAGTCTTGAGCATGTAGATGTGATACTTTCTGTCCTGAGCGCTGTGAGTGCTGATCCTTGGTTTGCGGATTGAGCTCAGACAAGATACTCTTGGCAAGCTGGGCGCAAGGGTGGTTCACACTTGTAATCCTAGCTACTCAGGAAGCTGAGATCTGAGGATCATAGTTCAAAGCCAGCCTGGGTAAGAAAGTCTGGAAGGGGGCTGGGAAAGTGGCTCAGTGGTAGAGCGCTTGCCTCGCATGGATGAGGCCCTGGGTTCAATTCCTCAGCACCACATAAACAGAAAAAGCTGGAAGTGGCACTGTGGCTCAAGTGGTAGGTCACTTGCCTTGAGCTAAAGAACTGAGAGACCCAGAGTTCAAGCCCATGACGGACTTAAAACAAAGGTCTGGAAGAAAACTAGAAGTAAAAAAAGTCTGGAAGAAAACTAGAAGTGGTGCTGTGGCTCAAAGTGGTAGAGTGCTAGCCTTGAGCAAAAATGCTCAGGGACAGTACCCAGGCCCTGAGTTCAAGCCCCATGACTGACAAAAAAAAAAAAAAAAAAGATTCTGCATCATGAATCCATTTGGCCTATATTCTTGCTTATACTCTCCTTACTTGCTTGTGTTGTTTTGCATTCTTCTTTCTTTTTTTTCTCTTTTTTACACTCTATTTTCCCCTTGCATTTGTTTTATAATTGCTGTGAGAGATGTATGCTATCTCTGAGAGTTTAGAGGTTATTTCAGTTTTTGTGACATGAACAGCTGTACCTTTAGATAAGGCTAATACGTTTACCCCTGGTCCCTTGGTGATAGTTTAAATATTTCACTTCACATTTCATAGCTGCCAACAGGGGTGGTGGGAAGTGGAGGCCTGGGCAGGTGGAAGTCCTGCCGTCTTCTGGCCACACCACATGGTACAGAGGGCCACCAAAGCTACCACACAATGGGAAGGGGAACAGCTGTGTTGGTTTGAGATCCTTAGAAACAGACTCAGCTCTAAAATTTTACATGCAGAAAGTTAACCCAGGTACCTTCTCAAACACAACATCTGTGAGGAAGTGAGGGGAACAAGCAGGGTAGATGGAGATGTTGGATGGCAGGAGGGCTGGACAGTGATTGTTCTTTCTGAGCAGTCCTGAATGAGAAAGGGGTCCAGGAAACACAAAACAAGCAAAGCTCTTGATTGTATCTAGCTACACTCAACAAAATGCCAAAGATAAGTGAATTTAATTACTGCAATCATATCTTGAGTGTTATGTGGATGGATAAAAGATATCAGGAAGAGTCATAGGGCAAAAACATACATAATTCATAATTTATCATGTTGATGATAAAGTTTATTTATTTATTTCTGGTTGGTCGTGGGGCTTGAACTCTGGGCTTGGGCGCTGTCCTCGTGCTCTTCAGCTCAAGGCGAGCGCTCTACTGCTTGAACCACAGCGGCACTTTGGGTTTTCTAGTGGTTTATTGAAGATAAGAGTCTCGCCATGCTGTTGTGTTGCTCAAGTTCTTAGACAGGAAATTAAGAAATTAATTCAATTAGAGGAAACTCTGGCTAAGTTTGTGGTCAGTCCTGTTGAGGTAGAACAGTAAGAATTACCGAAAGCATCATTAAATCCACACTTAGAACCAGAAAGGAATAAATAAATATAACAGACTTTACCAGCCAAGTTCAAATGCTATAATGAGGCTGCAACAAGCAAGGATAATTATATAACGCAAACGCAAAGAAAAAAACATTAAAAATGTTTATTTCATGTATCCCCATCTCATACAGTTGGCTATACGTTCTCAGGGTAAAATCTGAGTTACTACAGCAATTGATTATTTTGCTTAAGTAAAGATAGAGTCCATATGAGGTGAGGGGATTGAGATTTGAGGCCAACCTGGGCAGAAAAGTTAGCAAGCCATCTCAATCACTAAGCCAGGTGTAGCGGTAGACTTTTGCCCTCCCAGCTATACAGGAAGCATAGGTAGGAGAATGTTGTTTATCTATCCCTCAGAAAAAAGTAAAACCCCATCTGAAAAATAACCGCCTACCAGAAGGGTTGAGGCATAGCTAAAGCAGAGGGGCAGCACCTGCCTCGCTAGTGGAGGTAAGCCCTTGAGTGCACACCTCCAGAGCCACCTCCCTTGCACACAATATGCATCTTATAAAGAAAACGGAAAATGGCAGGATTTTTGCTAGTTGAATAATAAAAATTATAGTTCAATCTACAGTGAACTTCATGAAAAAAGTCTCTGCAGAAATATTGATGTCAGGATTATGCATACATAAATCCCTTTTTTGCCTCGGTTGGCTTTGAACCATGATCCTCAGATCTCAGTCTGTAGAGGAGCTAGGATTAAAGGTGTGAGCCACCAGCACCTGGCTGCCAACAACATCTTCTAACAATGAGATCAGTGTTGCTTGCTCCCTATTGGCAATGAGGTGTATCTCACTATCTTCTGCTTCACTGATTTTGTCTAGCCACTACGAACCTTGTCTGAACTGGACCCAAATTCTTAGCAGCTCTCCTTTGGCACTCACATTGGGTGACAAGGGTAATTTGATGTCAAGTGCAATGGGCATTTTTGCAAGATGTCTCATTTTAGGGAAGAGCTGAAGAGCAGGATGCATACTTTAGAATTATCTGAAAGAAAGCCATCAACTCTAGTTGGCCATCTATACACTGTGCTGCCACCCCGAGCACTAGATTGTTGTTTTTATGACATTTGCTTCTTTGCTTTTCCTGCTTTGCTAATCTGTTCATCTACTAAGGTTTATTCTTTCCTCTCTGTTCTTGTTTTATTTACTTTCTTTTTCAGAGAGTAGGATGCACTGAAGTGCATCTTTCAAAGTGCTGGTTTAGTAGTTATGAATCCTTTAGCTCTGGTTTATCATGGAATGCTCTTTTTAAAAAAATGTACTGTATTTTTATTACAGTGGTGATGTACAGAGGTGTCACATACATGAGTCAGGTGATAAGTGCATTTCCTTTCATGCAGGGCATCTGTTCCCTCATTCTCTCCCAGCCTCTCTCTCTCTCATCTCCACCCATGAGTTGTACAGTTCACTTTCATCAATGTCCAGTGAGCTCCACTGCTGCATTTTTTCAGCCTTAGAGTTCTGTGCTCTTACCTCAACCCTCCCAAAGATACATGTATGAATACACCCTATATAAGGTAAAGAATACAGAATCATCAGAAAAAGAAAAAAATTATAAAAAGGCTTTTGTTTCCATATCTTAGGAGTTTGTTTCAGTATGTGTATTATTTTATATTACTATGAAG